TTCTTAAACAAGCTGCAAGGAAGCTATGAAAGAAAACAAAGATTTAGGCCAATTAGCTTGATTGGCTATTTAAAAAATACCAAAAGTATGGATTCCACACTTCGTATTAGTAATTGGCTTAATCATCTCTCAGTTTCAGTTTGTCATAATGAAGGAAAGGCATATACATGAGTCAAGTTTGATTGCCAATACACTTTTTAATAACAAATAAAGGAACGAGAAACCTGGGCATGTGTTTTAAATTGTATATCGAAAGATCCTTTGACTCAGTGTACATGGAATGTTTGTCTTAAATACTCTGGTTAATGAGTGTGAACTTGAAGTTGTGGAAATGGATTAAAGGAAGTGTTTCTTCTTCCAAACTCTCAGTCTAGTAAATGGGAGAGGCTGCAAGTTTTTTAACGTGAAAAAGGAACTTAAGCAAGTTGATCCATTGTCGCAATTTCTTTTAAATATGGTCATTGATATACGTTCATATATGCCACAAGAAGTACGAATGGTGGGTCATATATCTAGTTTATGTATGGATGAAGCTTACAAATGAGGATAAGTAACATACCTTTTGTACAGAGATGATGCAATCACTTTCTGTGATAAAAGCGGAAGGTTAAATGTGTTGGAAACACTAGTTTATAGAGTGCCACAACTCACAAGGACGACTGTTAATCTTGACAAGAGTAAAATGTATCATGTTGGTGATGTTCAGAATCTAGAAAGGTTGGCCAAAGTATTTTGGAGTGACTGGAATTACTTACCTACAATCTACTTCGGACTTCCTCTTGGTGCTCGTCCACTCTCGACTTCAATGTGGAGCTCATTCATAACCTAAATTTTCAAAAAAATACTAGACGGCTGGAAAAGTAAGTTTCTTTCACTTGGAGGTAGAACTATCTTGAGCAATAGTTTCCTGGTAACCCAACCGTTCTACATGGGTTGTCTTCCCAAATGGTCCCACAAACGTGACAACAAGTTTGGAAAAATCCAACATGAATTTATTTGGTATGAAATACAGGAAGTACAAAGGATTCACCTTGTTGACTAAGGTGGTTGTAAGGCTCTAAAGGAGCTTGGAGTGAAGGTAATTAATAATTGAGCTTATATATTCACCTTCGTTGTGTAAATAGAAATGAAGATATTCTCTAGAAAGAGAATCACTGTGAAGAAAACTCATAGAGATAAATTTTCACTCTGTGATATCAGAATGTGTGAGTGGTGGTTGTCATGGTGTAATAGGTTGCAACCATTGGTTACAAATTATCGAACTGCAACACACGAATGAGGTTATGCACATCTAAAACCAGGGTATGGAGCTTAGGCCTTCTTTTTTTATAGGTGGATCAAAGGACCGACCTTCGTTGAAACTTTTCCAGAGTATTTGTTGTTGCCACTTCCCCCTAACAACCAGATTTCACCAACAACCTTTTCCTGAGAATAAGGGTTCAATATGGAACATTCCTATGAAATTCAACCTCAGAGGGGGTGGGGATATAAGAGACATATCCTATTAAACTTGTTGTCAACTGTTGTTATTTCTTTGTCTTTTATAGGGCCAGATAGGATTATATGAAAGTCATCTCGAGCAACAGACTTTATTGTCACTCGTTGTATAACTACCTAGTAAAATAGAAGTATCCGGAGGTCGTGATGTTCCCGCATAAAATAGTGTGACAACAATAGATCCCAATTCAAGATTCATGTGTTCCTATGAATGGTTTTTCAAAAGAAGTTCTGACACAAATCCCATTTAATACTAATAAAATGATTTTCCCATTATAAACAACTAGTTTTTGGATGGAGCTTCACGGCATTAACAAACTAATGAATTTTTTTAATGTCATCCACTCATTTTATGATTTAGTTCACAAAATAGTTCGAGTATGACACTTTCATAAGCTTTACGTAGTACTTAATTATCAAGGAAGGCTTACGTAACACGTTTATTTGATTGATACATAAGAAATAATTATACCTTCAACCTTCATAAGTTTTACATAAGAATTTTTAATAACTGTTACGGAACGGTGTTACATAATCTTTCATAACTTGTGGTCTAATAAAAAAATCACGTTACAAATAAGTCCCACATTAGATAAAACTATTATGTAAGATTAAATTATCTTACAGAAGCTTCAATTTTCATAATGCAAATTGATGAGCTGTTGAATATAATATTACAAAAAGTATCACATTTGATTAAATTATTACGTTAAAAAGTTACTTATCTTAAAAAACTTTGTGTATTGAAAATTGATGAGATCGTGATTTTAGTTAATAAATTAGGAATTTTTATTCAAACTTAAATCATGAAAAACTTACGTAATATGTTTGTTTAATTGATACATACGAAAGTATTATGCTTCCATAAAATTTACTCGCTGTCTTAGTCAGGAAGACTTATTTATATGTTTGTTTAATTCATACCCAAGAAATAACTATCCCTCTGTAAAGTTACATAGGGTATTTATAATTACATTTACACAATGATGTTAAGTAAATCTTATATAAAATTGTGGTATGATAATAATAAAAAAAAAATAGAAGAACAGAGGGTTTATGATGCCTAATTATCTAGAATACAAATTTTTAATTGCACTGTTATATATAGTAAGGTATACATAGGGTTTATGATGCCTAATTATCTAGAATACAAGGCTTGCACACTTCAGCATGTATAACTATACACAACTACTCTTGCAAACAAGGACTTGTTGTAGACTTGTAGCGGTTAAACCGTTGGTCTTCGATCTGAGAATTCCAGATTCGAATCCCTACAGTAGCATCTAACATTTAAAACTAAACTTATATAAAACCTTAGTAAAAGACAAGAAGTAAAAAACCTAACATTGAAAACTAAAACTATATCACGAACTTAATTTACATAATCACTTATCAAATCTAGGTGATGGTCTGTACAATTGATTCTAACCATTTAATTAGTGACAAAGCGAAAGACAACAGGCTACTTCATATGTTATGGCCTGTACTATTGATTCTAACCATTTTTATTTTTGTGGCAGCTGTAAAATATGCCCGGCGTGGTACGGCACCGAAATATATAATATATGCATGGTGCATGGATGAATGAGATCTTTCTTCTTTCTGATGAATCTTATCATATATTGTACATGCCTACATTTAGAACCCTTTTTTATTCCTGCACTGCCCCAACTTGTGGACTACATATATTCCCCAACTCCAAAGGGCCAGCCAGCACTATATGGACTGTATTTCTCGAGAGACAGAAATCAGGTGAATGGGAAGAAAAGATGGATGCAAACGTTAGAATCTATATTCTCCTCCATTCGTAAATTTCTCGAGAAAAGGGAAAGACGACCAAAAGATTGTAAGAGAATAAGAAATTTCAACCTTTCTATTTTACGCAGTATAAATGGACTCAAACTTTAGAAACTTGATACTCAAATATTGCCGTATTGGTATGTGAAATGACAGAGTATATATGTACAACAGAAAGGCGTCTTCTTCGACATTTGGGGAAAGAGTATGCATGCGTTATGCATAAGCACTAGCAAACCACGCCAAAGGTCACATAACTAGCGGTGAAACTCTTAGTGTGCACTCGTTACGAGAAGGGGAAGATCATATGTTCGACTCTCACAGAAATTCGATATGGTATTTCCGGAGACATTTAATAGAAATCTTTGTAAAGGGCACAAATCGCTCGAGCAGGAGAGGCTCCTGGGTAATAAAATTTTTTTAGCAAACCACGTACAACTATTGTGACAACTAATTAAACGAGCTAGCATACCCATAGAACATCATTATCAAAATAAACTAATACAATCAATTTAGTAATACATCGAAATAATACCTACAAAAAATGGGAAAATTATGTCAATATACAACTGATAGCGGTGCCTTGATTATGGTGTTTTCTCTGTAGATTCAAATTTTACTTTCAATGTATCATGTATTAGTAAAAAATTATAATACATATATGTGGATTTGAGTATATATAAAATTTCGGGAGAAAAGTATGAAATGTACTATCATGTCTTCTCTCTTTTTTTCATTGAAAAATCATTGGATGAGAAAGACCCGTCAAAATGAGGAATTGGAATAAGAAATGGTGGTCCTTCCTTTAGGCCACATTTTTATCTTGATGATGTTTGGAATCCTTATCATCTTACAGTTATTGTTGGGATGAATAGCTTTGAAAAGCTATAATGAAATTCCTAATTAATTATCCAGTATTTTCCCATAATACGAAATTAAGATGGATAATTAATAAAAGGAATATTATGGAGATAATTAGGAATAATTATCTTAATAGATTATATTTTAATTGTGTGAGTAATTATCTCCCTAATTAAAATATGACTTATTCCCAAAGAAAGAGGGAATATTCTGGGTTTTCTGCTCCTATAAATAGGAGACGCCCTAGACCCTCTAAATACACCTCAGAAGAGCAGAAACACGAGAGAGAGAGTGAATTCATAGAGCTCCGGTTTTTCGCACAAAACCGATGAGCATCAAAATTAGAATGGCTGTTTTATCCTGGAGGCGACCGGCTGATAGTCTGTTGTGCGCAATACGAGGCAGTGCCGCAAACGTCTTAAAGAGAGCGACCTAGTCCGCGACTCAGCCAGATCGGTAACCCTAAAATTTCTGTTCGGTTTATAACAATTTTAAGACGTTTGGTTGCTGTCATATTTGTCGAACAAGATGCCGATTTGGCTCGAACGATTACCGTCTCCCAATGCCTTGCGACGGCTGTTGACGGTAGCGAAGGTTCCGTTTTATCGTCAGAAGAACGAGAATGGTATGGAAGTAGAGATCCGCTCTACGGCTCTAGGATTCATGTTGTCCGCGCATGGCAATCAAATTGGGAAAAGCAGCTCGCTACTTTCACTGAGTCGAAGAGAAACAGAGAGAGATTTGGATATGCTAGCTTGCTCTCTTATAGGCCTTTCATTCTCCTCCGATGCCGAGTAACTGAAAGAATGACCCGGTGCAATTAGTCCAAGGTCCAACCTAGATTGCACAAGGTCAAACTTTGATCCGCGCCGGGAGAAAGCTGGAATTGCATGCGCAAACAACAACAAGAAAAATCAAAATTCAAACGGTCTGGAAGAACTTGTGGATAGCGGCAGCAAGAAGAAATTGAATTTAATGGCAAGTCGTTTTATTGATCAACCGACAAAGAAGGCAAGGGATCTCGAAGATGACCAAGATGCATTCACTGTTGCGATTGGAAAAAGCTGTGCGTCGGATGATCAACAAGAAGGCGATGCCAATTTGATGGATATCTCAATTGAGGGTTTCACCGAATCTATCCACGGGATACGGCCCGCCTGACATGATGAATTGATGATGGCGACGCAGTGGGCGAGGAGTAGAAGAAAGTCAGCTCCTCAGCTTCTAGCTTCTTCTTCTTTGCTGCTAGCGGAGGACTCGCTCTGAACGACCATATCTCTCTCTACACACGAAGCTGGGATAGTTGCTGTATCGGGAAGAGTTGGATCCTCACAGCCGATGGCTTGCAAGTTAAGCAGACTCCAAGGGGTTCTGATGGAGGAGAAGGTGGAACTGGTGTTTAAAAGGAAGAATCTTGAGGATGGGTCTTGGGTTCCAGACTCAACCTTGATGCGATCCACCACTACGAAAGAGGTGTCATGGTTCCTGGTAACTAATTAATTAGGGAATCATATTTTAATTTTTGCATGGTTTATTTCATGGAAAACGGAAGGCTCTCTGCTTCAAGTCTAACTGTTGACAAGGGAATTTTTTATTCCCTGGTTGGAGTCCCACGAGGTGGGAGATGAGTCTGATTAATCACATGTTTGGAAGGGAATTCGTTCCCTAGTAAGGAAGGACAAAATCAAATTGAGAACCATGGGGAAGATTGTCTATAATTATTGCGACCAGGAGGAGAAGATCATACAAGCCGAAGAGAAATATGGAGTTAATCTCGGTAGGAAGGGTCCTGTTCAGAAAGTCATGATCAAGGAAACAAGAATCAATTTGGAGCACTTAAATAACTCAAAAAGCAGAGTTCCTGGAAATTGATTCTCAGAGCTTGAGTCTATGGCTTCTCGGAAAAGAGGTAAGAACTGAAACCTTACTTATGAGTCATTTATTAATGACAAATTAGAATCTACCATATGCATGGAATTGAGAATCATTATGAATGCTAGAAATGAAAATCTAGAATTGATGCATGTTGACATTGAGATTTATTACCTCGATGATTAGAATTGAATACATGTTAGGAAGTATGATGATTTTGTTTAAATGCATGCATATATGTGAAGAATATATGGGAATATAATGGGTTTATTGCCCATAATAACGATATTGTAAGAAGTACTATTATTAGTACTACACAAACCACTTAGGCTGCTCTGAAACATTAAAGTTTCAAGAATGAGAGCAGCAAGCCGAACTAGATCCACACCAAATAGAATGGTATCCTTCGTGGTAACCATAAGATTGCCACTCAATCCTCTAAGAATGACGCTACGTTTCTCAATTAAATTTGAGAAAAACTAGGTCATATGACACGAAAGTGTTAGAGCAAGTTTAACATAGTATTGTGTTAACTTGATTAAAGAAGAGGATTTGGTAATAAAAATCGCTTAGGTGATAACAGAGGTTAGCCATAATGGTAACTCTGGAGAATGGTTGCTGAATACTAGCGCCCCAAGGCATGTCTGTGATAGGCGATCTAAGATGGGTTCTTTTTTGGGACGTGTGTGTCCTTGTAAAGAATTAGAATATCTAAAGTTACATTCCCATATTATTCTCGAACGCTTGAGAAATTTTGTATCCAAGCAAAATGACCCATAAAATATGTGGTTAGAGAATCAGAATCAATAAATCTGATTTATGTTGATATGGGTAAACTTGATGGAATGCTCTGATTGTCTAACTATTTATTTGAAATGGTTTGAAATGCCTAATTGCATTATGATTGCACTGATTATTCGATATGTGGCATGAATGTGGTAGCGTTAGAAAATCAGTGTAGCATGATAACTAGAAGAGCATATGAGTGTGTTTTATGTTGTTAACAATAAAAACACATAGTTCCTATGAAACGAAATACTCATGTTGTTGTGAAATCCATTAATGCCAAGAAATTTCCATTTTAAATCAAGAAATAGTGGGGGTTTTTCTTTCCTACTATTAGAAATAATGGAACTAGTGGGGGTAATAAATCTGAGTTTAAACTCAGAAGAAACAAATGGACCATAGATCATGAAATGATTTTGGTTATGAATTTGTTGTTTACACCCTAAGAAAGAAGGATCCTACAAGTCTGCTAGAAGTTCGAACTTCCATAAAGATGCAGAATTATGGGAGAATCCATTATTAATGAAATGGAATTATTGGAGTCTAATAAGACTTAAAATCTTGTAGAGTTACCTCTTGGTTGAAAAGCCTTGGGTAATATATCGATAAAATTGAACAAGATTTGGCATCTTTGAGAATTACCTCTTGGCAATGAAGTCATGGGTAATAAATGGATTCTTAAAAGAAAAGTAAAACCTATTGGTTTAGTTTATGAGTATAAGGATCGCCTAATAGCTAAGGCTTTAAGCAAAAAGGAAAAATTGTAAATTTTCTTGTTATCTATTCACCATATGTAGAATAACATCCATGTATGTTCTGATTGCTAGTGTTGTGCGTCAGATGGATTGTTTAACATGTTTCTTCGAATGGTGATTTAGATAGAGAAATCTACATGGGACAACCTATAGGGTTGTTATTCCTGAACATGCTTAGGGAGTCTATAGTTAGACAAATCATTGTAAGATTTGAAATAGACTCTAAGACGATGGCATGGATAAACTGGTTCTCTCTCATGGTTTTAAAAGTGAAAGTGACAAGCGCATTTAGTACAAATTTGAGAATGACACTTGCATTATGAATGACACGTCGATCTTTGGTACAAAGAATCGTGATGTCGATATGAAAAAACCATGTTTGAGAATTTTGAATGTTCTCGATGAAGCTTGTGTAAGCTAGGAGATCCATGTAACTATGACAATGAATAGATTTCCTCTAGATCAGTTTAACTACATAGTTAAGATCTAGAAGAAATACAAGCAGTATGCCTGCATAAATGGTTGATGATGCTAGTGTAAATATTAAAGAACACTGGAAACAGTGTGAGAAACAGAGAAAGTTAGAATATACTAGCATCGACAGCCTGCGTGAGGCAGCTGGTAAACATGAGACCCGACATAGTGGGGGTACTTGGCAGGCTTACTGATTGTCCTAGTATGAAGCATTGAAATGCTATTGAAAGGGGTCATGAGACACCTTAAAAGAACAGAAAAACCTTGGTATTTGTTATCAAAGGTTTTGCTGTATTGGTAGGGTATAATGTTGCGGATTAGAATACCTTATAGAGGACACCAAGACAACAAGAGGATGTGTTTTAAACATCGATGGAGAAGCTATGTCTTGGAAGTCTAAGAAGTAAACGATCCTGGTTCAATCAACTAAGAAAACGGAAATGATAGAACTAGCAATGGCTAGTAAAGAGGAAAGTTGATTGAGAGGGTCATTACTAGAGATTCCCTTATGGGAAAGACCGATCCCTCCGGTAGTTGATTCATTGTGATAGCACCGCAGCTATTACTAAAGAAGGGAACCGGTTCTAGAACGAAAAGAGACGACAAATTCTTCGTAAGCACAGTACTGTAAAAGAACTCCTAACGATAGGAGCAATGAGGGTGGATCCTGTAAGGTCCTAACATAATCTAGTTGATCCTTTGACGAAAGGATTATCTAGAGAGAAAGTCCAAAATACCACCAAGGGTATGGGACTTATGCCTACCGAACCACGGATTACAAGTGATGGCAACCCGACCCGATAGACTGGAGATCCCAAGAAACGGGTTCAATGGGTAATAACAAGTCATGAGTAATATTGAGAAAAGTTCATGCAGAGTGAAGCATGAATCCCAAAGCCTTGGAGGTTGAGTTCAACTCTTAATGAGATCTATACTCTATGTGGAGTGAAGTACTTTACTTTGGGGGTACTTCTGATAGACTCACCTATGTGAATGTGGGAGTGGGGCCGCTCCCTATGGAACTTTGGAGGCACAAAGTTGCTAGAGCGTTCACTAAACCGGGATAACGTGCATGGCCATAAACGCACGGCCTATGAGAGAATATCACTCAATGAAAAGATCCGGCGTGCTACATTGTCTGTGATAGGGTTCAAGACTACGAGTCACCCTTATGAAATCGGAATTGTAACCACTACGCTAAGGTTCAAATCTTCGCGATACCTTAGCTTATGCCCGTTCTTATGGAACTGTTGATGCTCAGAGATAGTTTCAAACTATTCAAGTGGGGGATTGTTGGGATGAATAGCTTTGAAAAGCTATAATGAAATTCCTAATTAATTATCCAGTATTTTCCCATAATACGAAATTAAGATGGATAATTAATAAAAGGAATATTATGGAGATAATTAGGAATAATTATCTTAATAGATTATATTTTAATTGTGTGAGTAATTATCTCCCTAATTAAAATATGACTTATTCCCAAAGAAAGAGGGAATATTCTGGGTTTTCTGCTCCTATAAATAGGAGACGCCCTAGACCCTCTAAATACACCTCAGAAGAGCAGAAACACGAGAGAGAGAGTGAATTCATAGAGCTCCGGTTTTTCGCACAAAACCGATGAGCATCAAAATTAGAATGGCTGTTTTATCCTGGAGGCGACCGGCTGATAGTCTGTTGTGCGCAATACGAGGCAGTGCCGCAAACGTCTTAAAGAGAGCGACCTAGTCCGCGACTCAGCCAGATCGGTAACCCTAAAATTTCTGTTCGGTTTATAACAGTTATTCATATCTCCTTTCTTTGTCCTCATTGATTACAGTCTCCCTCCTTAGCTCGTCAGATTCTTGCTCTTTCCACCCTTTTATATACTTTGGTTTAATTCTTAAATTCTTTCCTTTAGTGTCCATGTGGTTGACATTTGATACAGCCAGTCAGAATCGAAATATAATTTTGGCCGTTTGGGAGCTGGGTGGGGGTTAGATTTACTGGTTCAATATCGAAATTATTTGATTTTGTGGGTAGATATATAAAATTATATCCAAGTTAAAAAAATCACAAAAATTAGCTAGTTGGGACGTTCCAAATTATAGAATTAAAACAAAAAATACTTACCGATACGAATTCTTAGTCGTTGTTATTTAGTTATTAACATAATACAAAACAACCATGAATTAAGTCTTTTTTTCTTCGAATAATAACTTACATATAGTTATATTAAAGACATACAAATACAAGGCTACAAGCATAGTTTTATGAGACCGAATAGAGTCATAGGGAGAGTTAGCACCATACCGAGAATAATTACTTAGGATATTTTGATAATTATTGTTCATAACACTTTTGAACAAGGGTTACTTTTGGGACAAACAGAGTAAAATTGTGAAAATTTGTAATTTCGAGGGAGGGAGGGGGGATTCATCTCACGATGATGGGTTCTCTCCCAATTATGTTAAACTTTCTTTGTTAAACACTGTAATTGAATCCAATTATTGTGTCATGTGGAAATTGACACTAATTTTCAC